AGAGAGAGAGAGAGAGAGAGAGAGAGAGAGAGAGAGAGAGAGAGACAGAGACAGAGAGAGATTTTGAAGCACCCCTTTGTACATATAAAAGCAAAATATCAATAGATTCACGTAGGTTAATTAACAGTGATGGATTCCTAAGTAAATGAAGTTTGGAGAAATTAACTGGATATTTAGAAAATATTCAAAGTTGTGAATTTCAAATAAGTTATAGAATGTAATCCAAACAAAGAATGAACTTAGAGGAAAAGTCTGGTTGTGGTACACAGTTGTGTGTTGTAAGTCTTCAGTTTGCCCACTGTATCTGCAGGGATTAACTCATGGCATTTCCAGGATTATAAAACATACACAAAGAGGAACAGAGGGAGTAAGAGTAGATACTGTGGAAATCGTAGATGGTGTGAATTCCAATATTCAAGCTTCTAATATTGATGGTAATAATTATGACTACCTTGTTAGTTGGCAATGATGAATTAAAAAGAACTAATATTTACAGGGCAGGGGATTTAGCTCAGTAGCACCACACCTGCCTCAAAAAGGCAAGGTCCTGAGTTCAATCCCCTGTACTGGGGAGGAGGGAGGAAGAACTAATATTTACAAAGCTCTTAAAAGTAGCAATCCTCAAGAAAGTTTCCCAGGGGAGTTTCCCAATGGTTTAAAGGTGTTTCCTCCATTAACCTAGCAGTACTTGTGACAGATGGAGATGAAATAGGTATAGGAAATAAGCAGAAGTGTCTTGTTTTGTAGCATTGCCTACATTATTTTTGTACATCTGTAGATTACTGTTGTGTTTGTACCAACTATGTGGAAGTCAGAATGTCACAGAGTTGGAGCACAGAGAATGTTGGATACATGCAACTACTCAGTAACCAAATTAGATGTTGTTGTGGCTTAGACTTGAAAGGACCCAAAAGTCTCAGATGGTGAGAAGTGGTAGTTTGGGGAGGTGACAGGATGATGGGGGTGCCATGCTCATCAGTGGACTCATTCATTACTGAATTCCTAGCTGAATGTGGTGTTAAGGGGTAGAGGCCAGTTGGAGAAAGTGGGGCACTGTGGGCGTGACCTCAAAGTGTGTATTCTTATTCCTGGCTCCCCCTTTCTCTCTTAATTCTTGGCTTCATGAGGTGAGCATCTTTCCTCCACCATGGCCTTCCACTATGCTGTTCCTGCCTTGGAGCAGCTGACCATGGACTGAACCCTCTGAGACCATTGGAGCAGCCAACCATGGACTGAAGCCTGTGAGACCATTGGAGCAGCCAACCATGGACTGAAGCCTGTGAGACCACTGGAGCAGCCGACCATGGACTGAATCCCCTGAGACCATTGGAGCAGCTGACCATAGACTGAACCCTCTGAGATCACTGGAGCAGCTGACCATAGACTGAACACTCTGAGACCACTGGAGCAGCTGACCATGGACTGAACCCTCTGAGATCACTGGAGCAGCTGACCATGGACTGAACCCTCTGAGACCACTGGAGCAGCTGACCATGGACTGAACCCTCTGAGACCACTGGAGCAGC